AACCCTGACCAGTTACCTAAACTATTCAACCTTAACCAGCTAACCCTGACCAGTTACCTAAACTATTCAACCTTAACCAGCTAACCCTGACCAGTCTGCTCTTCACTGTGAATGATCGAAGATTCACCTGTAGACAAACTCAGAAGTTGAGTTCATGTTATTTTCAACAGTTGTTCATAAAAGCAGACATCAGTCTGTAACTTAATAAAATATATAAAGTCAGTAACATAGTGTGTGTGTGTGTGTGTGTGTGTGTGTGTGTGTGTGTGTGTGTGTCAGAGCGGAGTTGTCGGCCTGTGACAGTCGCTGCGTCGCTCTGCAGAGAGTCAGTCAGAACCTGCAGACGGAGATGCTTCAGCTGTACAGTCAGATCCACCTGGAGACTCGCCCTCAGGACGTCTGCGGCAGGTAAACATGTCATCCTCTGATGTCACTACAGGAGTTCAACTTTAAACATGGTGACACAGCAACAAACCCAGTGACCATTTCTTCTTTAATTACTTAAAAGATGTATAACCTTGGTTAACTGCTGCATCTAACATGCTACACAGCTGCCCACCACTAGATGGGGCTGCTAACGTCAGCAGCCTCAGTGTCTATGGAAATAGCTAACACGAGCACACTGAGCATGAGAAGACAATCTGCATCAGGAGATAATGGCTGATGATGTCATGTGATGTCATCTTTCTCTCCCTCAGGCCAAATGGCGGCAGTGTTGCTTTACCTGTTGCTCCGAGCAGCCTCAGGCCCCGCCCCTCCTCTTCTTCTGTTGGTATAATAAATGGAGTGGTGTCCACCTCCCCCCTGCACCTCCCGTCCTACTCCTCCTCCCCCCTTTCCCTGTCCCCCATCGAGTCCCCCCTGGCAGCAGGGTCGTTCCTGGAGCAGCGAGCGCGGCAGCTGTTTGGACCGACCAATCACAGCCCAGAGGAGGAGGAGCCTCAGGAGGAGGTGGAGGATGAGGACGTTCAGTCAGAGACCCTTCCTCTGGATCATGAGGTGGAGGAGGCCACCCTCTTCTCAGAGAACCCTCAGACGGAGCCTCCGAGCCTGGCTACAGCTCACAGCTTCACCGCCTTCAAACCTGTGCCCCCCCCCCCAGGTCCTGCCCCCCCTGCAGACCTGACCCTCGCTGTTCGTCAGAGGAGACACGAGCTGAGCATCATGGACTACGACGAGACGCTGCCAGAGTACTGACGGAGGACTGGAGGCCGTTCTGAGATCAGCAGCTGACCTGCTGACTGGTCTGTTTTCACATCTGCCTTAAAAACACTGAGTGCCACAACTGTTTCCTGTTCACTGGATAAATCCATGATGGTGAATAAATTGTGAAGCTAGCTCAAATGCTAACCAGCCAATAAGCTGATAGAGATTAGAAAGAATCAGTCGCAGTTTAAGTCAAACTCTCACTGATGCTATTGAAATGAACTGACGTTATAAATCTCATTCCAACTAAAGAAGTGAAGCTACAGCTAAGGTATAAACTTCATCAACAACTAGTATGTTGTGCTAATGCTAAAATGAGCTTGTAAGCTAAGTGGCGTTAAAACTACTTCATTATTGAGCAAGTTGATGGATGTTAATTTAACAAAGAAGAAAGAAATTAAGTTAATGTTAGCTCAAAAATGAATGACTAAACCATAGCTAATATTTAATGTAGGAATATATCCAAAACTGTGTCAAGACATAGAGCAAGTTGAAATAATTCATGAAATTAAACTGTAAAGTCTTAAAACTAAATTACATCAGTTGAAACTAAAAACAATCACGTAAGTAATTTAACTGTAATCTCATGTTTAGAGTCTCACAGCTAACATTAGCATGCTAACATTTGCCCTCAGCACATTGACTTATGAATTGAACTTGCTCACGCTCTGATAGCTGTGCAGTTATCTGCGACGCCCCGGAATTTACACAAGTCTGAAAGTTGGATCTTGAGAGATTTGTTGTCATCGTCAGGAAACAGTGAATTAAACCAAAAATAAGGGAAGAAATTGGAGGTTTGTTCGAATGAATGAATTTAAGGTGAAGCTAACAGAAGCTGTGTTAATAATCTGGCGTTGACTGTAACATAAAACTGCTCCCTGTAGTTTTTCGTCTCTGCAGCTGCAACAACAGCATCAAAACACTATCAACCAAAACTAGTGGTTATATTTTTCAAGAAATCACGTTGCAACTATTCAGGCCTGACTTTCTGTCTGGACTGATGCTGAGCTGCTAAAATGACTCTGGTTGGTTCTGTCAGTGTCAGAGCCTGGCTAGCAGCTACTTAGCATAGTTAGCATCATTAGCACAGCCATGATGTGCTCTGCAGACTAAGGTGTATGTAGTTTAACAGCAGGCGTGTTCACAGTGTTTGTGTTTCAAAAAGACATCTCAGTGGAAACTGACCAAAGATTCTCAGTATTTCATTTACTTCACTGCCAATCACAGCCCATGAATATCAGTGACGCCTGCGTGACACAAGGACATTCACAGGCTGAATGATCCTTTTCACACTGAAGAAAATCATCCACATTTGATCATGGGGCTTCTCAGGGTAGTATTTCCTATTTACATGGAAACATGCAGGTTTTTGAGCAGAAACCAATCAGACGTCTTCTCACCCCCCTGTCGTCATCATCTGGAGAATGAACAGCACAAGCAGACATTCATAAACATAATGAAAAGTTGAAATGGGTTCAAAAAAACAGCGTCCATGTGATCGAGGCCTCAATGGACAAAATCTGTTTGTCATCTTTGAACTTCTGGTGTGGACGTTGAAGAAAGTGGTTTCAAGGTATATTTTGAAATACGACACTTAGCTGACGTCAGCTGCAGGTGATTCAATGACCAGAGAACTCAGACTGGATCTGTGGGCCCTGATGCAATAAAAATTCAGTTTGATTTTCTTTATCCATCTATATGTTGGTTATACTGAAAAGGGAAACGTTGCCGGTGCTCAGTCACTGGCTCTCTGCTTGACAATTTCTCATTTTTAATAACACCTTGCATCTTTTTCATATCCAGCAACATTTACAACCATAAGATGCATAAAAACCAATGTTCCGTCACCTCAGGGTCACGACTGCTGAAAAAAACGCTCAGTCTCACTTCAGGTACAGGACGTGTTTATTCTAGATGAACTGCTGCTTCCAGTCTTTATGCTAAGCTAGGCTAACAGTGTTGTGGCTCCAGATCTGTGTCAGGTTATTATATTTAAGTTTCAGATACTGTGAAGCTTCAATGTTTTTTCTGTATGATCTCAATGTATCAGGTGTAACATCTGAACATGTTTGTGCCATGATCTCCCTCATCATGCAATGTAAACATTAACACATGACATTGATCTCCGCCATCACACCGTCACAAGCAAAGAGAAGAAGTGAAACTGGTCATCACCATGACAACAAACAATTGAATAATCTCAGATGATCTGGAAGATTTTTCTTTTTTTTCTGCAGTGTAGTTGTTTTCACTCAGAAACACAGGGGGCGCTGTTCTCATCACCAGCTCAAATAGACGAATATTAAACTGTGAACACTAAAATAAAGATTTATTCAAAACCAGCGTCTCTGCCGATGACTGATGAATTCTGAACGACACGAAAACCTGAAAGAT